GAAATGCCTCGGCTCAATTTTGAACTTTGGCACACCCCTACTCTTGCTTTACTGCAGTGAATATGGTTTCTTTATTTATACATCATGTTTATTGACGTAAGAAAATTCCTTCGACAGATTGCTACAATTGCTGATGCAGTATATGGTGTGTGGGCTAAATACCGTCTTCAAATTACAGGTAACAGCAAAGAACACTTTACATGAACAATTTCTGCCAAAGTTTTCTGATATATTATTCTGTCATAGTTCTGTTGCCAAGAGTAAAAGCTTTCCTGCTTTAGTTGTGCTGAATTAGCCTGATGTAGTGTATTCTATTATTCAGAGAAGCATAAAGTCTACTAGCCCGATTGTATTGATATATGCTGTCTTCTCTCACATGATCAACAGATATGCATCCACGAGTTGGCACGCATTATGCAAATTTTTGTTGCATTTTTCACTTCTACATGATTGAATCAAGACTGGCCTCTGTTGTGATGCTCACCAATATACTAATGCTCAGATTGTCAAATTGATATATTCATATCTTTTTTTGCTTTAATTTCAGGCCGACCACCTATGGAAGAAATATTAAAAACTCGAAAAACTAAGGTAGGTACAGTGCAAATGCAAAAGTTATTGTATTTGTTATTATAGAACAAATCTGCTGGATAAAACAGGGCAGAAGTATGGGAAAAAGATTGGAGTGTCTGAGTAGAAACAAAACCTTGTTTTTAAAAGTGCTTTTATGGTATACAAAGTAAGTATGTGGAGGAGTTTGCCTCAATTTGTGAAAAAGTATTTTCAAAAGCACTTTTTGGGTTAAAATGAAAAAAAAATGATGATAGAAAATCTTCTAAGATTCTGGAGTTATCCCGGGACTAAAATTGTTTCAACTCATGCATTCATGGAGCAGCTAAGAATGAAACTTTTTTATTTTTAGTTCGAAACAGTGAAACAGTTTGTAATGTTTTGATTAAAATTTTTAAGACTGTTTGTTTAAAACGTAGGACTTCCCACTCTATTGTAGCTTTAAAGAGATGTGATTGTTTGAGCTCAGCAAAATGCCCTAAAATGAACAAAATTTTAAATAATGCGTAGATAGATGTAGAATTACGAAGTCTCATTTCTATAACTAACCCTACTGTCTGATACCAAAGGTGATGCTTCATACAGTAGATACCCGGGCAATCTGAATAAAGACTGCTAAGATATGTCACACATCAATGTGCATAACGTTAAGACGTCTTAGATAATCTGATTCCATTCAAGGGTTTGTTTTGGATCCTAATTGTTAATTAGCTCTTTTAGCACACACTTCTCTCACTTTAATATGCTTGATTTGAGATCTGTTTGGCGCTGATATGCATTTAGTTTTCCCTGTTCTTTACAGGGTGAAGTATGCAAAGACAGCAACACTTGCAAGAAGTGAATTTCCATGATAGCTGATGGTTGTGGTCATTTTATTCACAACTAGTAAAGTTTGCATTTATATGAGCTTGGTTTGAAAAACAAGCCAACATAGATACGTGTCACAGCTCTTCTCCATGTTAGCCGTAATTCATGTCTATTTCAGTACATGTATTAGGTAACTCTTTTTTTCTTTTTTCTTTTTTCCATTTATAAATTTTGCTGCCGTGAGCTGAAATAAGAACTGGGAATGTATATAGATATCACTTGGGGCATGTGTATCATCAGGGAAGGATATGTAGAATAGTTCCATTTGCACGTAAATACACAAACACAGAAAGTTCCCCTATCCATGCTGTGTGCGTATATTTCCCTACTGAGCGTGGGGATTACTTTTGGTTGCCCTTACTTTTATTGGATGAATTGTAAGATCTTGAATATATGCGTCCTTACTCATTATCACTTGTATGTAAGTCATTTATTTTTCTTTCTTCCTATAATTTTCATAAATTTAAGAAGATTTTTTAATATTTTATTAGATCTCTGAATTCCCAATGACCAGTACTTGCTCCAACTGAGACAGAAGAGGGTAAGTAAAAGGTTCCATTGGCATGTGCATACACAAACAAACAGAAAGGAGCACTCATGCGTGTGCTTGTCTATATAGATCCATTTGGTATACTAACAGATATCAGATATAGTCCCTCTCATCCCATTAAGACTCTTGTAAACTTGCTGATGTTATTGTCTGAACTCCCACCTGGAGCTGCAGCTCTGGCGGCACTTTCGCGCCATTTAGAAGCATTCCTTCTGATATCTTCACTTTTTTCTCCATCCATAACATCTCTTATGCATCTATCCAGCACTTCCCCTCTTAAAATCCCATCTGTATCCTTATTTGCTCTTAAACCCACTCCCCATAACTCTTCTGCAAGCTTAGCATTTGTAGGCTGATCACTCCAATGAGCCACACCCACAATTGGCACTCCCATGCTTAATGCTTCTAACAAGGAGTTCCAACCACAATGAGTTACAAAGCAACCCACAGCTGGGTGGGCCAACACTTCCACTTGGTTGCACCAAGTCACCACCAATCCTTCATCGTTTAGCAGATCTTGTGGTAATTTGTCGTCAGACTCTTTCAGAACCCATAAGAAGTGCTTCTTGCTGGCCTTCAAGCCCTTGGCAATTTCTTGGGCCTGTTTGACTGAAGTAGTTCCCATGCTTCCAAATGACACAAATACTACTGATTTTGGTGGTCTCGTGTGCAGCCACTTCAAGTAGATATGGCTGCTTGGTTCCCAGAAACTAGCGCCGTAAGCTGTGTCGCCGTCTGATGGTTGGCCAAGGCAGGCTGATGGAATCATTGGACCAACCGTTACAAGTGGCCACTGGCCTTCCAATGACTTCACTAGCTATCAACGACAATACAAACAAGTCACTTATGAATGAGCAGACTAAAGGTTAAAAACTCGTTTTTAAGCTCTGAACTTTTCTAAATCATGTGTGGCAACTGTCAAGAAAATTTTGGCTTTATTTTGTGCTTATCTGCCAATCAGTATCTGTTTCAAATAATCTAGGGGCTTTTAGCTTGTTGCAGTTTTATACAATTAACCTAGAGACTAAGCAGTACTTGCTTCCACGAACATGGTGCAGTTTAAGATGTATGCAAGGAAGAAAAGCAAGTCCCGTGTACAGTCTCAGTCACTTCAGTAACAGTTCTAAATATATAATTGCACATTCTGACGATATATATATATATATATATATATATATATATATAACTGCACATAGATAGTCAAGGACGTGATTAATAAGTCAATATAAAATACGAAAAATATTTTTTTTTAAATACTGTTTATAAATTATGGTGCAACTCAATTTAGACGAGATATCATGCAAGTGCATAGGCACCACTCCAACTAATGACATTAGTTATGCTCCGGGGAAAAAATTCATCTCTCTCTCTCAATTTATAAGTTCTAATATTCGGTGCAATATGCGAGATGACAAATCAAGTTTTATCTAGCTAATACTAATTTTAGTCCTTAATATAAGAACTTGTTTGATTTTTATTTTGGTCTTAAATATAAGACTCTAATTCATTTTCTCTCATATTTATTTATTTATTTTCTCAAAGTAATTCTTGTAATAATGATAGTTCTAACCAATACATTTGATTGGTACGGATATTTTAAGAAAATATCTATTTATTATAAATAACTAATTTAATTAATTTTTTAATTTACTTAAATTAGTTAACCAGTTTTTATATTAAGTATTCGAAGTAGTAAATTATAAAAGGATCTTTACATATGAAATGCGACAATATACTCCTTTTACTGTTCTATTAAGTAATGGAGCCCTTCAATCTAATTAATTTTGAGTTTGACATGCTTTTGAACAAAAAGCAAACTAATTGCCTGAATCGCCTAATAAACAAATATCTCGGAAACATAAATGTGAAAGTTTAATTTGCAAATATTAAACGCTTGAGACGTATCTTGAATGAAATTTCAAGAACTTGTTTATATTTTTTTTTTTTTACTTGAAACTTATATGTAATTTTTTCATAAAAAATCTAACAACATAAATAACATCAAGTTTTGGTTTTAAAAATTTAATAAAATACTCACAATAATTTAGTATTACTCCCTTGAATTCAAAAAATAATTCCAGATTTTCCTTTGCACTAGTAATCCCCTTGAAAATTGAAAAAATACTCCTTACAATACTCTCTCTCCCTCTGCCCTGGCGAGTCGCTTCACGCGCAGACACAATAGAAAGATTAAAATTACTAATTAGACCTTAAAGTTACCTCATTTTCCAGCTCTTGAAAGGTGTTGCAGAAAACCCAGTCATTGAGCTCCAGAGCCTGAAACCCGTCCATGATTGCGGCCAAATAAGCCGAGTGATCAACTGGTCGCGCAATAAAACTTGGCAAATCAGAGAATTCAAGACTGGGAAGGCCAGGCAGTGAGATTGGAAGCTCTTCATCGTTCAAAGGCAAACTGAGGCGGCCCTCTCTGATTCGCCAATACAGTGAACACAGAGAAGCTGAATTTGTCAAGAACGCTGCTCCATAGATCCCTAACTGCTTAGCCACATCAAGCGCCCAAGGAAGCAGAGAATCGTATACAATGCAACGAACAGGAGAAGAAGAGTCTCTGAACTTCGATACAAGCTCAGTTAAAGCTTTGGATCCTTCAGATTTATAGGACTCTAAGTAGGCTTCTACGCTTGGAGCTTGCTTGAAGCCGCCTTCATCGTAGCCATCTGAGATGGGTTCAATGGAAACTGTGGGAGCGTTTATGTGCTTGATTGTGTAAGGGGTGGTGCCAAGAGTGGCTCTGAGACCTTTTGCGACGAGTCGTTTTGCGAATTGAAGGAGTGGGTTGATGTGCCCTTGAGCAGGGTAGGGAAGAACAATGACATGGCCTTTTGGGTGTGCATCTTCTCACCCTCACTCTTTCACTTTTGTTGCATTTTTTTGCTTCGTGAGATGGTTTCGCTTTTATTTATACTAAAAGGTTCCTGGAACATTTGTCGTTTGATTAGTCAAACAAAGAAAATAGAGGGGATTGATGAGCCAATATCAGCATTTCCTGTTTTGACAAGGAATTTTAAGAAGAAAGGTCATTAGGCATGGATTGACGAATCCTTCTCTTTTCTTTGTTTCTACTTTCTACTGTGAATTATGTTTTTGTAATTATCATCTACTAATTTTTATTTTTACAAGTTATTTAATATATGAATATAAAAATTATGTTTTGTTCTATGTATTATAACGGGATAACTAAGCATTAATATTCTAGAAGAATAAACATATTCATATAATGTTCGGATCTGATAAGAAATGTATGTCGTGTTCCAGCACGTCTCATTGATTTTTAATTCAATACTTTTGGTGGTGTTGTCCATGTATAGTATGCTATTGTGGAGTTCAGTTGTTTTCCTATGTGCATACGTCAGGAAAATATTTTCAGGTTTTGAATTAAACGCCCATAAGAAATTAATCAAGTATTTTTATCTTACTCTTTAAGAATCAGTCATGTTCTCTGTACATATCAAGTCATCAGGAGTCATTTTTGCATCGTTATTTGCCTTTTTCTTGATTAATTGCTCTCTTTTCCTTTTAGCTGTTATTTATATAGCTGTTGTGCTCTCACCTACTTGTGGCATTTTGCTCATGAATAAAATTATAAATTTTATTTTCACCCAAAAAAATTCAGTTTTCTTTGCTCTGTTAACAACTGAATGCTGGCACCAAAAGCATATATTTGATGTGCATAAGCTATGATGAATGAAAAAAAACGGCTTTGTCCCAAGAAACACACGAGCTCTGATGTATGTTGTCCAGAGTGAATGATCTTATTGGTAGAAGCTTGCTTACAAAATTATGATTCGGCATAGAAGCCACTGAATCGCCAGGATAGCTTCCGCTAGTCTAAGCACCTCCTCAACAACCAGAAACCACCGCCTCACTGTATAACACTAAGCATGTACAATGAAAGGAAAGCAGTTCAATGACCTCGGGCAAGATATATGACAGCCAAGGTCATCGAATGTGTATTTACATCTGTACTTTCTCAACAATTTACATCCTTTTGTTATTTGCCTTTTGAGGCGGCAATCATGAACACAGCCAGTTTGCTCATGTTAGAACACAGATCCATTCCTGCAGTGTTCAGCTTCTCAATCCTGGCTTCTTTTTTCTCAATGGGAGCCATTTTAGGACATTGAATAGCATTCTCCATCTCTTCTGAGCTTTGCCATAAACAGCACTCGTTACTTCTGCTTGCTTATCCATACGTGGAGGGCGAATATCAGTATCAAAGAAATGATGAGCCTGGTCATCGAAGACATTAGACATGGTATCTGTTTCACCAATGAAAGGATTAGAGGTTTGGACTGGAAAACCAAGTGTTTGGTCATATCTAAAATTCATGCTGTCGCTGATGGGCAACAGGTATTCATCAAAGCCACTGGCTCCCACAGGGTACACAGATGACAAAATATCCGGAGTAGGGCCGCTCCCTTGGAAGTAATCAAATCGATCAGTCTTCGGAGAAGACATAAGCTTGTGGGCACTAAATCCATCTGATCTGGGTGAGTACGAGGAGGAAGGTACATTGTCTAAGGATGTACACCCCTCCATTAGAGAGGCTTCATCATTGAAAGAGTCAAATTCCTCCTTTTGTTGAATTGCTGAACTTACTGAGCTTTGAGCATCAGCCTGACAGCATACATTAGGCTTAGTAAGATGATTGAAAATGGGGAAAGGAATGGAGCAGGAGACGCAAAAACAAAACAAAAAAGTAGATAAGAGAAGAGTGCCTTTTCAGTTTCAGACAGCTTATCTACAGGGACATACTGGCTTTCAGAGAGCAGTCCCGTCACTTGTCCAACAGCATTAAAGACCGCACCAGTTTTTGGTTCAGAATGAGAAGGGAAGTACAAAAATCTCCGCGTATCGAGCACACATGT